AGAAAAACAAAATTAAATCGTTGACTGATGAGTTTACCGTTAGGCGTGTTGAGGAATTGTGTAGGTTGATACTTGTAAATAAAAAAAGTTAGTGGGTTTGTGACAATAGTGTGTCAAGTTGGCAATTTGCGTCAACGGTAAGTATCCGTCATCCGTGGTCGATCCACATCAAAAACCAAACGCATTTCACTATAGGTATTATATCCAGTATATTTAACAGATTTCACTATTTCAGATTTGTGCCTTCCCGTCTACATTACGAAAATCAAATTTTCTCGTTGACGATCTCCGGTCCGGCAGGTATGTATACATTTTATTATATTGTTATTAATAACTTTATGGCGCGTGTAATTTATTGAAACGGCGGTTGTTAAATAAAACAAACAAAAAAATTGTGTTTAACAAAATGTATATACTGCATATATTCAAATGATTGTTGGTCTTACATTAGTCACTATACTATAGGCACTAATTATCGATAAATAATATAAATTAATATGCTCAAGTTAATAATAATTCATTTTCCAATAAACACCTAAATCTTAAATACATAATATACCTAGGTGTTGTCCATTATTGATGCATACGTTATTCTAACCTACGTTTTTAAAAAAAAAAAAAAAAAAACGAAAAAAAATACAATAATAAATTACAGCTTGGGTATATTCTATCATGATGGACCCTGTACATTTTTTACAGTTAACGACAAGACTAATTAAAAACATTCATAGAAATAGTTTAAAAAATCATGGTATTCTAGAATATGGTGTACACAGTACACACAATCAGTGATTTACTCTCCGATTATCAATTAATTTTCAGTAAAAATAAAAAAATTATATTTCTAATATTGTGTTCAAATGTTCCTTAATCTTACTTCCATTTTTATGTTCCCATAGGTTCAGATTGTATTAAAACGTAGGTACCTATTTAAAATAAGTACACATTATTCTAATATTCTTGTTATTCCAATATACAAGGTTTTTGTTTTTTAATTTAAATTATAATGATCCAGCTAATAATTGTTATAAAATAAAGAGATTTAATTGGCATTTGAAAAAAATATATATAAGTAATGTTATAAAGTTAGTTAAGTGTCATGATAGGTAGGTACATTGTATCATAATTTATACGTTCAGTGAATTTCTAATATACATTAAAAATAAGACAATTATTATTGGAGACACACATTGCCATTGTGGTTTTTTAACAATTTAACATATTATAATAATTATTATACAATTTTCTCTACTTATTATTACTTAATATTTGAATAAAATACTGTGTGCACAATATCGAAATTTATTTATTCTGAATTTTTATTGCTGTGTCTATATAATATGTATTCTACTCAAGCATACAAAATAATTATGTATTGTTATAAAAATGAATTACTAACTAATACCATTTATTGGTTACTTAACGGAGTACTTATATTATGTATGTAGTTTTTGTATTTATTGGTAATTAATAAAATAAATAATATTATCAATGTGCCATTAAACAACAGTGATAAATTGAAATTGACCAATTCAGTGTAGTTTTTAAAATGTTTTGATTATATTCTATTTTATGTCCTTTCAAGAACAGCATTCATTAAACAGAAATAATGACTTGGTGTAAAAAAAACAACCAATGTGCCTATGGTGAATGAGAGTTAAATACACTGTGCAAATTATGAGGTTCAATACAGACACAAAACAACACAATATAATTTGTTATCAGCATAACGAAATTAAGGGATAAACCAGAGCCTATAAATTTAAGGAGCTATTTAAACCATTGATTATTTTTTTTATTGATTTATATTCTAAAAAGAACATACCTACTAACCAATTTAAAATATTTCCTGAACTATTTGTCTGGAAGTTTCGAGATGGCAGTACCTACATAATATTATGGAATTTAAATAGTGCTATGCTATGTATTAAAAATACTATAGGTCATATCCATAGTCTAGATTTATATGGATATAAATACTATAGATAATTATGCATTTATATATATATATATGTATATCTTAATTTTAATTTCTTTGAATAAATTGAATGTTAACTCTAGGTAATAAACTTAATAATTTTGATTTTTGTTTATTTCTCCTTTGAAGAAGAAACATTGTTTGAAAAATAGTTCTTATTATTGTCTTGAACGTTTAGTTTATAGTTCATAGTGCTAAATATTGTCTTGCTTGACATATTTTTGTTACTCCTATTTGTCTCCATAGTGTTGTGAAATAATTTTAATCATTATATACATGTATTACTTATGTACTCTATGTTCACTGTGCATTTATAAATAAATATAAAAAAAAAAATATTCATCTACGGTGGCCACCAAATTACATTATGAATTTTTCATGATTTTTTAGGAATGGATTACCAGAAGAATTAAACAATATGTATATATAAGTTGCATCTTGGGCATCTTACTTTATTTTAAAAAAAAAACTATTTATAATTAAATTGTTATAAACCGTTACCTGTTATAATATGTATACAATCCTAAGAAAAAAACATTATGTTTAGTTAATACAGGGATTCACACCATTGATTTAATATTTTATATATATTAATATGAAATTAAATTGTAAAACTATTAAAGGCAATAAATTAGATGAGTGTGTAATGAAATGAACGGCAGTATATTTAATTCTTGGGTAATTTCATACATTTTTAGAAAATAATATTATCGGATTTTTTTCATGATACTTTATAATATAATGATTGGATAAAACTATCAATATAATTGTTGATGAAACCTAAATAAATTTGAAGAGATTCAAATCTGGTAAATTCAGTAAATGACACAATTATATTTATTACCTTTATTATTCAATAGTTATTACTATTGGACCACAAAGACATAGCTGGAGAAAAAATATATTTACATCTTAAAATAATTAGGTTTCTTTTAAAAGCGTGTATGTTCTAAATATTCAAGGCAGTCAATATAATATAAATACCTATAACTGCATAAATAAAAATTTTACATTCAAAAGAATTTTTTGACATAAAAAGGAATTTTATGAAAAGATTTCAACAAAGTCCTATACCAATATTAAAAATATAATAGTATTGTTTCAATGATTCTAGATCCAAGGAAAAAATTAAAAAATTTTAGATATTATAATATAATTAATAATTTATTGCACAAGCATTTCGAAATGTAGTTAAAGTAAATTTAAAGAAGTTGATACATTTTATAAATTTAAAGTCACCTCATCAGTTATACTTTTCTAATAAAATAAATAATGGCATTAAAAAAAGATGAACCTCACACGATAGGCGAACCACTGTTATAGGTGAGAAGCTGAGAAAGTAGAGTATAGAGCAGAATTTAATGTATATCTGTATGCAACGATTAACGAAAAACGATTCTGAGTGAAATTCGGTTTTATATGTTTTAAAAGACCGTACTATTTACATTGGCGCACATTCAGTGTAATACTCGGGAATGCTAAAATTATATACAGTAGGGTATCACGGGAGGGGGTTGTTTCTTTCAATACCCTCTAACCTATACGACATTTCAAAATAAAATTATATATTAACTGCACATAAAAAAACAAAATTGAAACAATGAAATATGATTTTAATAATGAATCTTTTACTGCCTCATAAATAACCAAAAATAGATAGGTACCTCCTTAAAAATATGAAAACAATTAACATAATCTTACATAATATTACATGTAGTATTAATACAACCTATATATTATATTATATATAATAGGTATAAATCAATACACAATAGTATAATAGTAATTATCTACTTATATCATACCCATAGTACTATTTGAGTATTATATTTATTTTATTTAGCTCAAAATCTGGGGGTGATAAACACCCCTGACTCCCCCATATGTGCACCAATGACATTTAAGAAAATTATTCTTATGAAAAAAAATTCTACATCACACTCTTTTTCTTTTACGACAAAAACGCTACTTGTAATGAATCCCCTGTTAAATTTTCAAGCATTTCTTTAAAACAATTTTATCCACAAAGAATCTACTGAATAAAAATGTTATAAAATTTAAAAAAAAAATCTCAAAATTAAAATGTCCATATGTAGCTCAAATATGGTCATATATATATGTTATATTGTGATAAAATGATTACAATAATGTGCGTTTTAATGACAACAATGATTGTTTAAAAAAGACCTCGGTTTTCCTCATTATTTTGAATATTAATGAGAATTTCAAAAAATTACTTCTTTAAAGTACCACCTATAAAACATTTCCTTTCAGAAAGGGTGCTATACTTGGTAATCGGAGTAAGCTTTCTGGAAGAAAAAGTGTTCACATAAAAAATAAAATAAAATAAACATCATTGTACAACCAATACATTAATCGCTGCACTCAAAATCTAAAACAAAACTGAAAATAATACATTTTGTACATTTTCCGGTTTTTTCCCATTTATTATAAAAATCCCTAGACAAATCAAAAAATGGCCTATTTATAGTACCACTCAAATAAAATTCTCTTTCAGAAAAGATGAAAGATTTCTGGTAAAAAAAATGTTCGCAGATTAAAAAAAAATAATAACAATGTATCTAAAACAAATTATGTCCCTCGCTCCACTCAGAATCTAATATTCGGAATATCCCTACTGCGATACTTGTGTTCTACATAGAGATATTTTAATTTCTGATTTGTAGTGATCCGACAGTACCCAGTTCACGCTGTGTAATTTTTGTCTCTCAGCTGCATTTTCAAAGCTTCTACAGTTAAAATTGAATTGAAAAATAATGAACAACTATTCAATTTAGGGATCGTTGAAACCTCCAAAACCATAAACTCCGTACGCCCTATGGGTATAGATAAAAATCTAAAAAAAAAACCAAACATTTTCTGACCAATTCCCCATTTTAACGGTATGATAAAATATTGTTATAATTATTTTTTTCGGATTTGATGTATTTTAAATAATATAAATTAAATACCTTCATTGATTTTTTAGACACATTCCAGTGTTTTAAAACTCAAAACGATAATGTGGACAAGAAGCTGTCTTAGAATGGTGACTTTATCAACATTGCGCGGCCAATGGTTCGTCGCTACACCTCGCGGTCTGATGCTCGATGCTCGGCGGGATGGTAGCTCTTTCTCCAATATTAAGAAAGCGGACGGATGCTTTGCTAAGGAAGCGCACGGAGACAGTAATAAGAAAGCGGACGGTGTTTCTGACAACAAATCGGACGGCAAGTCTGGCAACGAAGCGGACGGTGACTGTGACAAGAAAGCGGACGTTAACGGAGGCTACGATTTCTTGAATCAATATTACTACAACCTCGAGAAGGACTTCAAGAGACTCAGTCAATCGTACCGGACAACCGATTTCGACAAGGCGTTGGGAGCCATGCCAAAGCCCGTGTTCTGGGCGGTCGGACTTTCCCTCTGCCCTCTGCTGTACAACACGCTCGCCGTCGGGGTCACGCTCAGCTGCGGCGGCTACCCGTCATTTGTCCTGTCGAACGTCTCGATGTTCGTATGCGCGGCCAACGCTCTGTGGCAGTACGACTCGCCGTCTCTATCATCCTATTGGCTAGTCATGAAAGCCGTCCATCCAACCGTATTGTGCATCGCGACTTTCTGGTGGCCGATCCCGTTTTTGGCCCAGGCGACCGTTCTGTATTCGTCGTACGCGATGACCGTACGACTGACATCGGACGACCACGGGTCAGCCGCCACGATGCCTCCGTGGTTCAAACCGCTCGTACTCGGTGTCTACGGGTTCTGCGTGCCCACCCTGGTGCTGGCCGCGACGTGTTCGTTGTTTTCGTAATTCGAGTCTTTCGCGTCACGTAAAATAATATTGTCATTTAACAAATTGCTCTATTTCTTTTCAATAAAACAATGTGTTAATTACCTATAACGAAGATGCTTTAGCATCGTAGCACGACGACGTTTTCGTCGTTAATTGTTACTTGTATTTTGTTTATGGCATAAACGGAAATGTAACGACCGGCATTCGGTATGCATATTTTTGGTACTTAATTTGTGTACTCGTTAAGTATTGATCGTTTTTCAAATTATTAATAATTTCTTTACGCTCATAATTCCCATTTGCGTGTGTTTTTTTCTAATATAATAAGCTTATAATAAACTTAATTATTTAATATATCAGAGTTCCATACAAGTATATATATTCAAAATAAAAATGTTATTATTTTACTGGAAATAGTGAAGAAATTCCATAGTATTTTTAAAAAATTGTCATGAATGTATCAAAAGTATTTTTCCTTTTATTTATGACTAAGGAAAAAATAAAACAATTAATATTACACTAATATTAATTAAATAAAAAAAAACGGAAAATCTTAGGTATGTGCTCAGTTTGCCATCAAATTGTTATGACAAATGGTAAATAAAATGTAATATACTATAAAATTGGAACACACAAGAAAACAAAACATGTTACTATATCAACTGAACAATAGTGTTATAATAAGTAATAACCATACAATTTTAATCAAGAGGCGGTTTGCCATTAATTGTCTATCTGAAAAAAAAAACTGTTTTTCGATCGTTTATTTTATGAACGAAAAAAATAAAATCAAAAATCCACAAAAAAAATATTAATGTAATCAATTATTGAATTATTAATATAGTAATGTTATTTTGCAGTTCATTTATCATTACATATTAATAATTTAATTTATAGTTTATAACAATTTATTATTGACATATTATTTCATAATTGTACCCAGTCATATATTAACACACTTAGATAATATTGTTTTGTTGGTATTTAATTGGTAAGTATAGTCAACGAGCATTTGCTGATTCTATTATTATTTATAACTAGACTGTGAATTTTATGCACTAAAATAAGTATGCTCAAAATCCCAATAAATGAATTCAAAATGTTAAACGACTATTAATAGCATTTGTATTATTTAATACTAATGAGAATTTAGGTATTTAATTTGTTTTATCATTTTTGCACTAAACCGTAAAAATGTAAAAAAAAAATACAAATAAATGTGACAATGAATAAACAATGAATTATAATAAATGTCAACTATCTGATCCATTGTATTATTTACACTATGTACTACCACTTAAAATAACGACATTAATAGTATATACATTTGTTTCGCTCTATTTTTTTTTTTTTTGTTTTGATAATTTAACTTTAACATGACAAGGATATATCTACAGTTATATTATAAACAAGTAAAAATGCTGAATTATATAATTTCGTATACTCGAAACATCTAATAGTTTGTTGTCCACATATCTAAAATTAAAAAGCAGTATATTATGGGTTTTCCGAAGTACTAGAATCTTTTATTTTTTTACGTAGTGTTTACAATTATTAAATAAGTAAATGAAACCTGTTGTCCTATGTTTTAGTATTTATTTTTAATATTTTGGATTGATAAAAAAAACAACATGCTCATTGGTTAAGCATATAAATTATTCATCAAATGTAATTCTTATTAAAATGATGTATCTCGTTGACTAATGCTCACTATGTAAAACAAACATAATTTAATTATATGTATTATCTCCGGAGATATTCAAGGGGTATATATTCGTGGGACAGCCTGTATATCCGATATTGTAATAAAAATATATCCGTTATAAGGTATGGTAGGTTATATAGGTATGGTGGTGTGTGGCTAGTAGGCTTTATCATCTGGGCGGTTGAATTTAGATTCAATCACCGGATTTCCAAAACGACGGAGACGCGCCGAATACGCACGGAATTTGTGAAATGCGTACCTAGTAATTATAATTATAGTATCTACTGTAACATGTCATAAATGATAAATTTAAAATTGTTCAGCGCCCACTGTCGAGCCTCGAACCGATCGTTATTTCGATTGTTAATGTTTGTTAGTTAATGAAGTAAAACAAAATACACTCGATTGATTTATATTATGATTTTTATTTATTTAATTTTAAATTCAATTTATATTATTTAAGATGCATTTAAATACAAGCGTATAAACTATTATGATGATAATAATATTAACACTAACGAAATAAATGAAAATGAAATTAATTTAGAAAACGTGAAGTGTATCCCGTGACATGAGTTTGGTAAATATTTGAAAGTATATCGAAGAAACTGACGAAATTATTAAAGTTTTATCTTATTGCGTTTGCCGTCCAGGACAACTAAAATTACTTCAAAAAAAAATCATCAATGAATTTAAAACGCCATATTATGAAGGTAATTTGTTTCTACAAAATATCGTATCAGTTTAATTGTATATTTTTTTTTTTTTAATTAGTTGAACATATTTATAATCCAAAGACTGTAAAAATAAGTTTGTTATAAAATTAATTAAGTAGTAATTTTAATAAATCATTTCAACCAAAATAATTTATTATTCTCAACTGAATAGTAATTTATAATCTATACAATATGATATACAAAAATGGATGACTGTCTATCTGTCTGTATGAAATTAATACCAATTTTTGATACCGCAGGAAGAAAAATGTACAATATTCACTCCTTAATAGTATATCCATTGATTATAGGCACAGTGAGTGTACGATAATTTGAATTAGCGTATATTACGGTAAAATTAGCACTCAAGACGCGCTACATGCCAGTAGCGGATCCAGAATTTTTAAAAATTAAATTACCTTTTAGATTACGAGCGTAGCGAGGGAGCTATTGGTTTTACAATGCTGTTTATTTCTTCTATGTTCTAGTCATGTACACGTTTTTTCTTAGTAAACTTACGTGTAGCAACTTTTCTGAAAGCTCAAGTTGTCTAGATTGTACTTACTAAAGAAGTAATTTTTGTTCGCCGTCATTTTTAAAATAAAAGCACTTAAGTGGGAAAAAAACTTAGGAAAACGTACAATTTCACGATTTCATTATTTTATAAAAACACGGACAACGTTTTCAACCAGAAGAAATAATTTAATCGAAAAATCACAAGACGCCTTTTTTGTTGCCTTTTTGATTTACTTTTTGACGATATCATCGCCAAAATTTTTGACTTCTAAGGAATTTAAATTTTTCCTAGTTTTTTTGCTGCAATTCAGTTATAAATACACGTAGAGACTTGAAACTTGGTAATAATACTTATATTGGTCTTACCCAGACGTGGTCAAAGTTTCAAAATCATCGGACGACTTTTTTTTTTTTAATAAGCGTTTTGAAATCAAATTTAAACGAAAATCGCATAAAAAATTACGGTACTTCAAATTATGTATTACCGAACTGCACTCCGAATCGTCTTTCGTCAAGTAATGGTTTATCGTTACTTACAGATATAAATGAAATAACCTTATGTATCCTACCTTCCCAATTTCCCACCTACAAATGTGGCCACTGCCGTCTCCAGTATCAGCTCTTTTATTTTTCTATTTAACCTTTATTGGAGGCTATAATTATTTGTATTATTTCACCTATACAACTCAATAAATCTGAAATTAATAAACAACAATTAAATAAAAGTTATTTTTACTATTAATTAATATACAAAATAATAAACATACTACTATCATAATTTTATTATACAATCAATATAATTATCTACAAAATCAAATCAATACATCTTTTTTTCTCCTTGGAAAATCTCTCAATAATATCTTCCACATGTAGTTGTACGTCCACATAAAAGCGTTAAGCCAATCGAGCGTTCCCCATTGGAGCCCTCAACCAGGTTTTTAATCTAATAAATTTAAAGCAACAAGGAAGCAACTATATCCGTGGCTCGCGTTTGAGAAGTAACGTTTTAATTCTATATCATTATGTACGACCAGGAAGAATCATAACTAATGCTCTATGAAGTGTAATTAGTAGTAGCGGCAAATATATAAATAATAAACTAGATTGATAACTAGTATAAATTCACAAGCAGGCCGGGCGCGCGGCTTTTCCACCATATTGGTTGAGGGCTATGGTATTTTATCAATTTTTATCGTTGTGATTATACACAGATCAATTTTATCATAATTCATAAACTCAGAAATATTTTCAATAATAACTAACATAATTATTTATATTTTATATAAGAGTTTATTTTATTTACACATCAAAAAAAACGTATTACTTAAGTATCTAAGTATCTCAAAAAGCTAAACTCATTAAAAGAACTCATTTTACTACTATAAACAAGGTTATGACTACAGGTTATTAAACTAAATTGTTTTATGTAACTTTTGTCTTTTGTTGACAGAAGCTTTCAAAATAAAAGAACTTGACATTTTGCTGTAAGAGTATATACGAATATTTAAATACATACGGCTTACTAAGTTAATAATATTTATCTTGTGTGTACGTGAATGCATATCAGCGTCCTCAAAACGTTTATTTGTTTCTGGAAGTAAATTTGAACTTAATACAAGAGAGTTTTTTACATGTTACCATCAAATATTGTTTATTATTAATTACCTAATAATTATAGTTTTATCTTTTTATACAATCATTTCAATTAACAATTTACGTGTATAATTTATTTTTCATTAAAATGTTTTTATATATAGATAATAATTTAGTTTATTGCCTTTATCTGTGGTAATATGTACGATTTGATTTGAAATACCCGCCTCCAAATGATACACAGGTATCAAGTAGTTAGGATAACACTACAGAGCGTACAACCAACATGGCTTTTTCGGGCTTCTGCTGTTATTACTAGTCAGCAATCTAGTTTATTATCTATATCTGTGAGTAGCTGCAACATCATGAAAATAAAAATATCGGCTTTCAATACAATATCATAACTTAAAAATAACGTAATAAACACAGCCAAAGGGGTGAGGGGCGATCGCCCCATTATCCCTCCTCCTTGTATCCGTCACTGCTAC